CTCTAGGTCTTTGCACATTTCATTATAGTAATTGGCTTTGTCTGCTCAAGCTGCTCTTTGAAATCTTCTGTGCAGCTCTTTTATCTTGTAATTTTTTCCATTTGCTTTAGATACTCTCCACTCAAAGGCAAGTTTTAGAGCCTCTTCTGACATCCATTTTGGTCTTTTCTTTCTCTTATTTTTAATGATCTCTTGCTTTCTTCATGGATGATGTTCTTGATGTCATCCCACAATTCTGGTTTTTAGTCATTGGTGTTCAGTGCATCAAATCTATCCTTTAGATGTTCTCTAAATTCAGGAGGGATACATTCAAGATCATATTTTGGCTCTTGTGAACTTGTTTTAATTGTCTTCAACAATTAAATTCAATTGTTGTTCAATGCAAGTTGAACTTGCTTATGAGCAGTTGATAGTCTGTTCTACAATCAGCTCCTGGCCTTGCTTTGGCTGAAGATACTGAACTTTTCCACTGCCTCTTGCCACAGATGAAGTCAATCTGATTCCTGTGTATTCCATCTGGTGAAGTCCATGTGTATAGCCAGCATTTGTGTTGTTGAAAAAAGGCATTTGCAATGAATAAGTCATTGGTCTTGCAAAATTCTATCATGCAATCTCCAGCGTTACTTCTGTCACCAAGGCCAAATTTTCCAACTACATCTTCTTTGTTTCCAACTTTTGCATTCCAGTCACCAGTGATAATTAACATGTCTTGACTGCACATTCGGTCAATTTCAGACTGCAGAAATTTATAAAAATCTTCAATTTCCTCATCTTTGGCTTTGGTGGTTGGGACATAAATTTGAATAATCATAGTATTAACTGGTCTTCCTCATAGGCATATGGATATTGTCCTATCACTGACAGCAATGTACTTCAGGACAGATCTTGAAACATCCTTTGTAATGATGAATGCCATGTCATTCCTCTTCAAAGTATCATTCCTGGCATAGTAGATCATACAATTGTCTGGGTCAAATTGGGCAAAACCTGTCCATTTCAGCTCACTAATGCCTAGGATAACAACCTTTATGTGTTCCATTTCATTTTTGACAACTTCCAATTTTCCTAGGTTCATACTTTGTACATTCCATGTTCCTATTAATAATGGATATTTGCAGTTGTTTCTCTTCTATTTGAGTCATGCCATGTCAGCAAATAGAGGTCTCAAAAGCTTTACTTTATCCATAGGTTGGTCCTATTCTGATGATGATGCAGCTTTTTCCTAGTCATATTTTGAAAGCTTTCTGACCTAAGGGGCTCATCCTTCTGCACTATATTGGATAATATTTCTGCCCTGTTCATAAAGTTGCACAGTAATGTACCAGACATTGTTTCTCTGCTATTCATAAGGTTTTCCCTGGTCAATTCTTTGAGAAGTGGATGGTCTCTTCCTTCTTCCTAGTCTGTCTCAGTCTGTAAGCTGCATTGAAACCTGTGCACCATATGCAACCATGGCAGCACTTGAAACACCAGTGGCACAGCCTCAAGCCTCACAGCAACACACAAGTCACAGCAGTACAACAAACTGACAGACAAGTTTGTTTCCCTTAGCGATTCGAAACCTCTCCACCCTCCCCTTACTAGGATCCCTGGCTGCTGCTCTGCTCTGTCGTCCTCTCTGGCTTCACTTTCTTGCCTGTTCAGGGTGAAGGGGCAGGGGCTGAGTCCCTCCCCTTACCTGGATCCCTGGCTGCTGCTCTGCTTTCTCTTCCCCTCCTGCATCACTTTCCCCCACTTTCCTATATACTAGGAGCTGTATATATAAGGGGAAGGAAGATTGGACATCTTCTTCCACAGTGAGACCACCTCAGAAACCCAAGGAGGGGTCACTATGAGTCAGATCCAACTTGAGGGCAGTGAGGTTGGTTGGTTCTTCTTGTTGTGTAGTGTCTAAGGTGTTTGACTGCTAACCAGAAGGTTGACAGTTCAAACCCACCAGCCACTCCACAGAAGGAAGATGGGGCAATCTACTTCTGTAAAGATTTATCACCTCGGAAACCCAATGGGGGTCGCTGTGAGTCAGAATCAACTGGATGGCAGTGAATTTGGTTTTGAGGGTTTTTTTTGTTTTGTTTTGTTTGTTTGTTTTTAAAATATATACACTAAGAGAGCTGATAGTATTTAAATGTTTGGCTGCTAACCAAATGGTCTGTGGTTTGAAACCAAAGGCTGTTCTATGGAGGAAAAAAGCCATGGCAATCTGCTCCCTTGAAGATTACAGCCTAGGAGACCCTATAGGGTAATTCTACTCTGGTACATAATGTTGCTATGAGTCAGAATCAACTCAATGGCAAACAATAATAAATAATAATAATAATAATAACATGAGTCAGAATTGACTGCAAGGGACATAACAACAATATATACCAGGCAACACACAGTGTCTTAACTATATTTCATAGTATCATTAAAAAATATTATTTCAAATGAGGATTGGGAGAATCAGAAAAGAAGGTTACAGATAATTCAGTCAAGCTGAGATTAAAATTTAGGTCTGACTCCTAAATGTACACATCTTCTAACCCCTGCACTGCTCTGCATTTGCTTTCTAATAGGTAGCTGCCCTGGCCTCCTGCCATGAAAGCCACGGTGTCTGTGTGATTGTGGGGTGGATTAGTGCAAGTGTCCAACTCAGTATCAGTGGCCTGTTGTTGTTCTCAGGACGTTCCTTGAAGGGATCTATTTTTGGAGGTATGTATGAAACAGGGAAGGGGGGGAATGCCTTGGGGTTTGGAGGTGGGGAACAGGGGGAGTTGTGCCATAACTGTTGAGAATGGACCCAAAGCAAGAATTTTAGATTACTGTTTCTGTTTCAAGCATGACTACTCAAGGTAAGGGAATAGATATTGGATGTACCCATTTGCTTCTTGATAAGCTTTTTCTCAGGCAAAGGGAGAGAAAACATTTTTAAAAGCTGGTAAACTTTTGACCAGTGTCAAAAGTTAATGTAAACTGGGATTCTTTGAGGAATATATTTAATATTTAGTAATCCCTGTTCAACTAATGTAAAATTTTATCTCCCAAAACTAAGTTGACATCATACCAACTCAAAGATATGATACACAATGAATTCATGATTGAAAAGAAATACAACTGAGAGAAAACAAATGAGATTTTTTTGTTTGTTTAAAAAAAAACTTTCATAGAATCCTTTGATTTTCCTTTTTTTATAGCTGTTTTGGAGATGTATTTTTTACACCTTTCTGAAAAGCCCTTTATTGAGAAAGTAGGAAATAAATAAATCTACTCAGATAGGATTCTGGGCTCATATAAATTAATCTGATATTTATTTTAAGAAGAAATATAATTAGCCAGAGATTTTGGGTAATCTCAATTTTGGAGCAAAAGAGGAGAAAGTTAGGAACTGTCTAAATTACTTGGATTAATGAGCTATCTGTCTCTCAAATTAACTGTGTATTCTTACAGGTATTAAGAACTTTACCCAAGTCATTTATGAAGAGTAGATAGCATAGTGCCTAAGGCACTTGACTGCTAACCAGAAGGCTGGTGGTTCAAACCCACCAGCCACTCCTTGGAAGGAAGACTGAGCAATCTACTTCCATAGTGATACTGCCTCGGCAATCCAAGGAGGGGTCTCTATGAGTCAGGGCCGACTCGATGGTACATAACAACAACAACAACAAAGATAAAAGTCAGGATTAGCACCAAAAAAAAAAGAGGAAGAAGAAAAACTTATTGAAATTGTGGTCTTAGTTCTTTCATTTGAGGTCATTGAACACATCTACTGTATTGCCATTTTCCACTATTAAATTTATGGATGATAACTATTGATACACAAATACACATATTCAGCTAACTTTTATAAAATGCAGTCACCAATATTTTAAATAACCTCCATAATTAACCTAGTTCATTGTCCACTGTAGCATTCATATAATGACCATAACCAGTAACTAGTTGCCTTTGGGTTGATTCTGACACATGGTGACCTTATTTATGTGTGTGCAAGTAGAACTGTGCTTCACAGGGATGGTTTTTGTAATTAGTCTCCAGGTTTTTCTTCTCAGGTGTCTCTGAGAAAAGTCACACATAGATGTAAGTTACTTTCCTTTCATATATAGTATAATCTGGATCATTGTTTTTCAATCAAGGACAGCATTTAATGGGTGCTAGACAGGCTTGCTAAACCTCCTGCAATGTGCAGAATTAAGAATTTTCCCCACCCAAAATGTCATTAGTGCTCCTGTTGAGAAACACAATCTGGTCTGGTCTATGGTCCCCTTGAGGACTCTTCCTTCTTGTGTTGTTTGGTTTGAAGAAGAAATAAAAAATAAGTGAAAGTTCTCTTACATAGTTATGAAAATGCTTCATCAGATCACCAAGGATAAAAACAAATAGAGAAATAAACTATCCCTTTATGTAATGATATAAAGCACTATTAGAAAGCAAAGTTCCTGTCTTGGTTATCTATTGCTGCTGTAAGATATATACCATAAGTGGATGACTTTAACAAAGAGAAATTTATTTTCTCACAGTTTAACAGGCTACAAGTCCAAATTGAGGACACCAGCTTTAGGGGAAGGCTCTATCTATCTATCTATCTATCTATCTATCTCTCACTTTTTCTCTTCCTCTATTTCTATCTCCATCTCAACCCTAAGGGAAGGTCTTGCCTTTTTTCCTTGACTCTTTGGTGATCTGCATATAGCATGACATCTACCGCCCTCCATCTCTGCTTGTTGGCTTGCTTGTTTAATCTCTTCTATATCTCAAGAGAGATC